ATTATTTTGCAGCAACTATTAGTAAAATCCAATTTAATTATTAGCTTATGCTAAATCTCAGTTAATCTATGGTGGTAACAAAAATTCAAAAATGCATTGAAACATTGCTCAAATGTTTTTGAAACATAAGTAGATACATTGCCTTAATTTTCTCAATAAAATTAGAATTGGAAGTTTCCATAAAAAAAATATCTAATTCCTGTGACCACTTTTGAAGAGTATGGCTTTTAATATAATCTAGTTAAAATTTAATATGGTATCTTAAAATTCTGTACAGATAAACTCTATATGGTTAAAAACAAACAGAAAATGTGTCAACGTAAAGTTTGCATTATTTAAAAAAAAAAATTATTTCAAACATGATTTGTAATTTATTTTTAATTATTAAGTCTTATACAATCTGTGTTCAAAAAGAAGCTTAAGAACAGTCAATAATCTAGTCTAGTTTATTTGTATATCTGAAGGTAACTTTTGAAATGTATCCTTATATGCAATTATACAGGGTGTGGCGTCTTTAGTGCAGAAAAAATAAAATGCAGACTCCTAGGAATATATGCAATAAAAAAGCCTTATATAAAGAAATTCATATATCCACGTTTTGTCAAGAAAATTGAACTTCAATTTTGTAGCGAAGAAATAAATCTTAGTACGGTCCTGGTCAAAAAATGTCGTGCCATTCGATTAACATCAGCACACTCTTGCCGAACCGAACTTAACAAAGAGTCAAGCCTTTGCGCAAATCAGTGTTGCCAAATTAAAATGTATGAAATACACATAAAAGAGATAAAATGTTTTAATGCAATAATAAATGGCCAGTTTAATACAATCCTCTCGTTTTAATTAAAAGGAAAAATAAACATAAAATTCAATTAGTTATTTCACTGTAAATGATAATGTGCAATCCCAGACAAGAGGTTTGTAGAAACAAAGTACATGGTGTTACAGAAAAGACTACTATTATTTTAGCAAGTGATAGGTTGGATCACGACAAACAAAAAAGATGTAAACTTACCGCTATCGTTCAATAGTAGTAAACGTATTATTGTTGTCCTCGTTATCCATTGCCGATTTAGTTAAAACAATAACTTAAAAAATAAAAAATAAGAAATGTCTTTAATAAACACTTAATGTCTAAACAGTAGAAGCGCGATCTTTTTGACACAACTTAGCAGCAATTCACCCGCAAGCCAAAAGCGTACTAACACTGACACTGACTGACATTCCACAGGTGCTGTGTGGAGTGCGGACTAGGTCAATGTTTTTTGCGCTATGTTAAATGGGACCGGCATTAACATTTTGTCGCTTATTGTAATTTTTCGGAAAATATTTTTGACACTCAAATCTCATAATCGCCTTATGGTAGCATATATTATTTTACTTCTGTTATTGTCAAGAGTCTAGGTTTTTAATTTTCTGCATTAAAGCCGCTACACCCTATATGTGCAAATAATATGGTGGCAGCTAATTGAGTTTTTGTTAACATATGTCTTAAAATATGATGTACAGGATAAGTTAGGAGCAACCCACTAAACTCGAAAGTATATTGTACACTCGGAAATAAATAAAAATGTTATCTAATTTTTATTTGTTTCAAATTATAACTGGACAAAACATCATATGCACATTGTTTTAGTTGTAGTATAAATAGTCCTGTTTTCCGTTTGTTTTCAATTGTGACATAAATTATACTCCCAACTCTCACACAGTCTAGCAAAAATCTGCACCCAACAGTTGAAACTAATTTTCTACACCGATTCTCGTTTTTATTGTAGAATATCATACATAGATACTTAATTGGACCTTTAATTTTGGAGAACCGCATAACAGAAGAGAGAATTTTGACAAAATGAGTACAAGGACTATTTTAGACATTTATAATGGAAAAGTGGTATCAACAAGACGGAGCTACTGCATATTTCACTTGCCAGGTCAGGGCATTTGGATGAAAGGGTGCCATGCTTTTGAATTGGTTGCGGTTATTTGTTGTGTTAGATTTTAAAGAAAGGCATCTACAACTCGGGGAAGCAACAGATGCTCTCTGTGTACAAATTAGAAAATATGTACAGGTCAATAATGTGGCATTTTTAAAATTTATTACAAGAACGCTACAATTAAAATAATAGGCATTATTACGGGGTACTGTAACAGTTATAATGACCAGTTACTTTAATATAATGCTATTACTTGAGTATAATGAGAATCAGTTTTTTTTTAATTATTAAGTGTAGAATGTACCTTTGCAATTGGTGTGTTACTCCCTACTTGCCTGCATATTCATATCAAAAATTTTAGTAGAAATATTTCGATCACTGGTATAGTTTTTAATTTTAAAATAAATTTTTTAAAGTATACCAGTTTTGATGTACATTGAATGAAATAAAGTGGGACCTATTCATTAACCGACAAAAGTATTTTTAAATGGAACAACATATTTTTTCATTTTTATTGTGAATAATTATTTTTGTTAACATTTTAAAACAAGAGGTTGCTTTGCAGACTGATAAATTTAATTGTATCATCATTTTTAATTTTTCTATATATTATGGATAAGTATTATTTTGAGTAAAAAAATAAAAGACTACGACGCTTCAGTACGAAAACATGCTATCTCAGATTTCGGTTGGAAAACATGTTATCTCAAATTTCAGTTGGAAAACATGCTATCTCAGTGTGACTAGAAATTTATGTTGGCACATTGACTGATTGAAACCGTGCATTTATAATAAACATATATTTTTAAAAAATTAAGGAATGTTTATGTTCAGGTACAGTTTATTTTATTTTTTTTTATTTAACATTTTTCAATTAATTTTGTTAAGTTACTGTAATAAACAACAAAATTGTTAATTAAAAAAATAGAATATGCAGTATGATGCAACACGTATAAAAAAATAGTGTAGGTATACCTTAATATATAAAAATGTTTATTACTACNCACCGCTACCTTGTTTTTATTGAGGTGCAGTAAAAACGATTCGGACCCGGAGTTTAGGGCCTAGCCTGGTCCACTATATAATTCTTTTTATTGCAGTCTCCTTAGGCATACAAAATTATTTTCAGAATAAATTGTGCATCACAGATTTTGTGATAAAGAAAAATAAGTGTATCAAAAGTAGAGACTATAAATCAGATAAGAGTATGCTATTAATTTTGATATCAAAGCAAACTTGTATGAAAAAATATAATAATATTTAGTAATAACAAACATTTTTATATATTAAGGTATACACTATTTTTTTTATAATTTGTTATTTTAAAACACGTCTAGTAATGTACGTGTTGCAGCATACTGCATATTATTCTATTTTTTTAATTAACAATGTTGTCGTTTATAACAGTAACTTAACAAAATTAATTGAAAAATGTTGAAAAGAAAAATAAAATAAACAGTGTACCTGAACATAAACATTCCTTATTTTTTAAAAAATATGTTATATGAGTTTATTATAAATGCACGGTTTCAATCATTCATTGTGCCAACTTAAATTTCTAGTCACACTGAGATAGCATGTTTTTACCTAAAGATCTGAGTTAGCATGTTTTCCAAGCTTAATTTGAGATAGAATGTTTTCCAACTGAAATTTGAGATAGCATGTTTTCCAACCAAAATCTGAGATAGCATGTTTTCGTACTAAAGCGTCGACTATATTATTGAAGTTTTCTGTCATTGACATGTTTCTCTACATAAGGTTGAATTTAAGAAAAATATTAGATAATTAAACATGTGATAAGATTTACATTAAACTAGTTCAGTGTGATTTCTTAAATCATAAATTCAGATAAATTTTTATTAAAATTATAAATATACATATTGAAATTTGGTAAAATAAATGCAATATCTTTTTTTTTAAAGTTTAGTGGATTACCTTTAAATATATTTTTTTGCATTATAAAATAATTTGTATTATAAATTAAGGTAGAATATTAACCACATTGTTAGGAAATGGTTAGTGACCTAGTAAATTTAAGCTTATGGATGCTTTGTGACAAAACCTGTCCTTAAAAATTAAGAAATGTATATTGTCATATACATGTATGTCAAACAGAATGTGGATATTTCTCAATATACTTATAACAAATTTAAACTGGTATTTTTCTTTTTTTAATTGATTAAATGAAGTAAAACGTCTAATATTTAATTAAATTTTGTTTTGTTCTTAAATGGAAGAAAAAACCCAGGCCTTGGTTTGGAGATCTGGCAAAATGAAACCAAAAAGTGTTATGTTTTGAAATTTTATATCAGTAAGTCGTCGATTGAGCTTTTTTTTAGAACCTAGGTTTAGAAATATTATATCGTCAAAATTGATAGAAAAAGGTCCCGCGTAGGTTAATCCGGCAGCCCCAGGCCTCACCATAGGTTAATCCGGCTCTGAAGAAACCCATACTATATTTTCTCTTTCTGAATTTTCACAAACAAACAAACCGTAGGTGTTTTAATTTTTTTAAGTTGTTGACTTGCATTGACGATGGTTATCGTATGTTTACAAGTTTATAAAGCATAATGTTTTTATTTATTAATAAACAAAATTTCTAATGACATTAAATCTCAAGTGTGTGTAGCAGCTCTGTGAACATATAATATTGAGATACACTGCATATAAACCACAGCCTATGTCTCTATTTTATTTACTTAAAAATAGACTGCAGGCAATTTTAAAGAAAAAAATTTTTGGTTTCATGAAAAAACATTCTGTTTATAGATTTAATTAATACGTTATTAGTTATTACCAGTATCTTATGATCCAAATCTATTTATTTTCCATGGTAATCCATTGTTTGTAAGTAGGTGCCATTTGACTTGCAAATGGAACAAAACAAAAGGATGCAAGTTGAAGAGGATATGCGCAAAATCCCTATGCTTGATTCCACAAATTTAAAATCTATTATTGTCAAGGACAATATCTTTAGTATAATTTTTGACCATGAAAACGCTTATTTTGATATTAATACTATATTTGACACAACAATTAAATTATTTATTTAACTAATGATTGCATAAAGATAAATAGTAATATTAGGCATATAAATATTTAATAATAATAAACAAGGTATCAACAAACACTTAATCTCATGTTTTAATCATATTTATCTTCATCTACATCTGGTTCAATTGTATCTTGTCGAAATGTTTCAACATCTGCTTGACTATCAGATTGAATAAGTTTTCCTTTTGAATTGGGCTAAAAATGCAAATATATTCATTTAATATACATTAATATTAATGGAAAAATAAATATTTAAGAAAATTTAACACTAAAGTAACAAATTATTCTATACAGGTATTCCAAAAGAGGAAGTGTACAAACTTTCAAGGGCACAATTTCCTTAAGTTAATGTAAGTAAAATGGAGTGTATAAACTCTTGTCCAGAAATATACTTTTCCTTTTGAAAAGAGTAAGATATGTGCATTACTTTTTTGTAACACAGTCACAGTATCACTATTACATCAATTCATTAACTTCATTTAAAATTTATAATTTATAGAATGAGTTTATTTTTCATGGGGCGAGAGTTTTCGAAAAGTAAAATAAAATTTATTTAAAGAAAAAAATCACCTGAAAATTTGATACTTCCCTGAAATGAAACTTTTTCAGTCATTCAAAACAAAATAGGAATAATAAGAACACACACACACAGTCACAATGATGAACATTTGGTGAAAAAGAAACAAATCGACGGCGTCACGACAAAAAGGCGTAAGCAGCTTATGGAAAATTATTCAGGAGACCAGAAAAACAGAAAACCATGCATAATTGAGATTTTTCATCAGTTTCTTTGGTGGGATCGAATAACTACTATTATTATGTCTAAATAGTCTGCTATTTGTTACAAAATCGATTCAAATTAATAAATTATGATATTTGGCGTTTACGACTATTTTCTGTTGGTGTTCGACGCTTACACCTTTTTAAGTGGTTCTTAAGATTTTGGGAGTACTAGCCTTGCGATACTTTTAGGCGTTTAAGCCCTTTATACGCCTTTGGGTTTTAGATACTGAAATAAAACAATGGTGGTTGAACCTTACTCAATATTTTTTATTATAAAAATAATAAATAAACATAACAAAAAACTTTATTCTGGGAATTTTAAAACATTTTAACATATTTTAATAAAAGAATGTACCGAGTTACTAATACATAAAGATAAATAAAATGAAAATGTGCAAACATTTTTTTACTTGTATACCTATAGTTTATAAAAATTTAAATAAAACACTTTATTAGATATTGTATTTTTTTAGATTCATCCAGCTGGTAATTGATCTATTCTACAGTGTCTTCTATGTCACTTTGTGGGAGAATATCGGGTTCTTTACTGTCTGCCTTAAGTGCGAAATACTCAGCATGATATTGAGGTTTTATTATAAGTTTGTGACAGAGATTCATAAGATCATTCAATTTTTTTTTATTAATGCCTAACTCGGAGTTATATGCTCGACGAATATTATCACATCGTCTATCAGCCCATTGAATTTCATGTGCCAATTGCATGTCATATTGTGTAAAAATAACACACTGTTTGTCACTGTTTTTAGAAAATTTAACTAACAATATCATTTATTTTAATGTCTTGGCCTTGCACGGTTACGATTTTTTTGGGGATCGCAAGAGACTTCCAGTCTAAAATATCTCCGTAATGAACAGGAATTACTTCATAGGGCTTGGGACGACGCCTTGTGTTTCTAATTATAGTGGTCCATTCAGAGGGCGCCTGGATGCTTATATTTGAGACGTATTTTTCTATAACTGCATGTACACTATCAACTGGCATGTAGGTATGTCCAGCGACTAAATATGTGATTGTTACCTCCTCCACTGATTTGGAATGTTTTAAAAAATGCTGGAGCATCGACAGAACAAATTTGTTTTTATTCTGACCTGGACAGTTATCACAGAAAAGTGACACTAATTTATACTTTCCGTCATTATCCAGCTTAGTGAGGTAAGAATATAGATTTGAGCATATTTCATTAACGCTCCTCTTGCCATCCTTTTCGCCCCAAATATAACAAAATCCGTTTTTTGACTTGGTCTCATACACGGTAAAATCAGAGAACACTATATCAACGAGAAGCGACAGCAAGGCTTTCTGCGTTAACAGTTTTCGTATGCGCATGCGCGAATTGGGTTGTGTTGTTGTCAATTGTCAGTGGCTGTCAGAGGCTTCAAATATAAATAGAAGAAACGAGTAATAGTTTTTTGGCGGTGGACAGTTGTGTTGTATAATGTTAATTGATAGTGGATGTATTTGTATTGTATTTCGTTTCCATCTACAATTAGAATCAACTTGAAATCAATAAAATGAATGGTTATTATTGTGCTTTTTGCGATTGTTCATCCAAAACTGGTGAAGAATTAACCCTGTTGAGATTACGTAAGGATTAGATATTATAATACCTAATTTGTCTACATTTTACCACAGTTATTCCTTGTATTATATGAACAATGTTCGATACTGATGCAGTTCGTTCAGTGTACATCTATTCAAAAGTGTAACTTCTCTCAGTGTAAACGATTGTGTTTCTGTCAAATCGGTCAACTCTAGCGTGACCACAAAACATCAAAGGTACCGCCGATTCTGTCGCTTCTCGTTGGTATAGTGTTCTCTGGTAAAATTATAAACCGCGTATTTTCTACTAAATCCATATACCATATCCGGCCCATGGGGAGTGGTAAGAACCTTTTGTAAATCAAAGGAAACTAAAATGAAACCATCATCGGATGATCTATTTTGTTCGGAAAGAAACACTTGTTTAGCATTAACTTTATCTTTTTGATGTTGTAGATATTCTTGTTTATCTTGATCTGTTCGATTTAATTCTGATATATTTTCAAATCGCACACAATGCGTACATTTATCTTTTCTCGGAACATGAATTCCAATGTTATAATCTTTCTTTAAACAATTTTTGAAACTAGTAATTTTTAAAGGCGTGCCGTTTTTTTCCAGTATACTTGAAGAAAAAAGTCAATAAAGGTTCGCAATACTTCTCGTTTCTGAAGGTAAGTATAATTTATTACTTAAACTTCGGCAATAATGTGAGGGCACTGCTGGAAGGCTTTCAATAAAATTTTTAAATTCGTTCACTTGTTCAGCAGTTAGTTTGTGTTTGGGTTCATGCTTACCCCTTTTCTCTCTGTTCTCTTCAATTTTCCCTTGAAGAGCGTTTCTTGTCAGCTTCTGAGTAACGTTTAATGTAGTCAGAAAAAATTGTAAACATACTCTCCTTTGCACACCATCTTTCATAAAAAAAATATTGGTAGGTTAAATTTCGGCGTGATTCACCCATAGTTCTTTTTCTCTTTACGGGTACAATATTAACGCATCCATTAATAAAATTCTTCTTTTCAACATTATTTTTTAATTTCCAAAACTGTGTAAAAATATCTTTTCTTTCTTTTTCTGTAAACGTATTGCACTGATTGGTACACTTCAGACACGGATTAGGCAGTACTACTTTTTTTGTAACAGTTTCATTCTTGTAGTTCCTGTAACACTTATCCAAGAGTATTCGTTTTTTATTTACTTCTTGAGTACTAGCTTTCTTTTTGCGTTTCTTTCCTTTAAAATTCTCATCTTCATTGGATTGACTGGAACTGGAACTTGAGGATGAAGTTTCATCGATTGATTCAGTATCAGTACCATCAGATTCACTTGTGGAATCATGGTGAGCAGTTTGGTCCTGCTCACCAGAACCAGTTTGGTCCTGCCACCAGAATCATCACTATCGGAATAAAATTTTTTTATCACAGTTTGGGTCAGTCTTTTATTCCTTTTCAGTCTGTTGACAAAAGTCGCTTTGCTTAGAGAATAAGTTAGGGGTAGTTTCACAGCAATAATTTTCATCAGTATCATGCTCCAATAAGTAGTTTGGGTTATAGTCTACTAGTGAAATAGAATCCAGTTCTACTTGTGTGTGTCTAGTGTCCGGGGTATCAGGGGTTGATTCTGTCTCAAAAATCGTCACTGTATTTTGAGCTAAATCAGATCATGTTTCGTATGCGTTCCATGCTGTGTCTATTATCACATCGTGCTGCAACGCTTCATCCAAAATGTTACTAATCATTTCGTCACTTTTATAAGTTGCAAGGGCCATATCCCTAATTTTTTGCCTTCGACATAAATTTTTTTGAGTATTTGACGTCATCTATAAAGAGTAAAAATAAAAGGCGTAACCGACATGTTAGAATCCAAATTTAAAACAGTTATTACGATAACTGTGTATATTTTATTGATAATAAAACCTGTTTAAAAAGTTCATTAAGTGGGTTTGTTTCTGTAGCGTTTGTAAACTGTTAAAGGCAGTGGTCCAATTACTTCATAAACACTTGACCGCTGATAAGTTTACAATAGGGGGCCGTATGACCGCTTATGATGGTTTGCAAACAATTTGCAGTGCTGCAGAAACAAAACTAATGGCTCCTTTTGCAATTGTTTTGTATATTTTAATAATAGTATAGTATTGATTACATTAATTTCATTCAAATAATACATGGTGTCTTGTATGGGCAGTGGTAGTTAAGCCTCCCAAATAAAATAATATAAAAAGGCGTAACCGACAATAACAAATAAAGTGGATTTTTTCCACGTAAAAGCATTTTTTAAATATTAAAATCAATTAAAAAAGACTTCAGATACTGAATGAAAGCTAATAATTAGTATGTTAGGTACCTTTTGAAATGGAGCGAAATTATTGTAGTCGGGCGTAATCGACCTCTCTCTTAGGGGATAAGACACTTACTGCCGTCCTGTTCTGGTCTAGTTGCGCATTAAAGTGGCGGTTAGATGCGTTGCAGCGAAATTATTTCGACACCGAATTTTTGTCGGTTAAATCCTTTTTACAGTGCGATAGACCTATATTACTTCTACACAACTGCACAATAATCTTATTTTTGTAATTTTAGCGCTTACGCCTTTTTGTCATGACACCGTCGAAATCTTTGTCTCCCTTTTTTCACATTTAAAAAAATATGAAATTCAGATACATACAGGAGTATATACACAGTTGTAATAAAATGAGTAAGCTCAAGTTTATAATTATATTGTGGGAAGTCTAAAAAATCATTAGTATAGACATTTTTAATTTTTTTGACATGCAACTGATTGACATATTTGTCAGTCAACTTCATGAATTTTTGCTTCTAATCACAGTATACTAATCAATCAGTAGGGAAAGTTACGTTTCCCGCGTCTTCCATATTTCCACCATTTTGTTAGCGACTGACAGTTATTACGATTTCCGTACTCATATTTTCATCCATAAATCTAGTATGTTTTCATTATTGTATATGTAACTAACCTCACTTAAACCTTCTTATATCTCAGCTTTATGCATTAAAAACCTTATTTTATGTGGTCGAGTAGTTGTTCAGTTTAGTTATCTTGTTCTTGTGTATTTTATTAGTGATTATTTATTTATAAGTAATACTATACCCAGTAATAGTTAATAATGAAATAAAAATTATAATAAACTTACATTTTAAAATATGTTTAGAAAATAAATACGCTTTCGTAAGTTTTTGAACAAAATTTATAAAATTCAGACCGATATAATCTAATCTAAATTATTTTTGCTGGAATTCAAATATATAAACCTGTATTTAACCAAAAAATGTAAACTTCTCTTAATAAAAAAAAAAACTCAATTTACGTGTAACACTACTACATAGCTAACAATCTCTTTATTACCTCGGATTATAATAATTAATCAGAAATTAATGTATAATAATTAAAAGTATTAAAACCAGGAAAAAGAACAGGTTATGTTTACTATGCTACTAGAGGTAGCATGCCAATGCAAAAAGTGTGGCTGAGAGACAGACAGTATCTCAGATATGCTGTCTCACTCTAGCACGCCGCGATTGGTTGAAGCATTCATTTCCAACCAATCGTGACGTGCTAGAGTGAGACAGGATGTACTGATGTACTGTCTGTTTCTCTCGCACACTCAGCCACAGTTTTCGCAATGGCATGCCTCTAGTAGTATATGCTCGAAGAATCCGCCATATTCTTAGCGACTTTTCCTAGGGTGGGGGTACATCAGTTTACATCAAATTTCCTCAGAGCTTTCTACAATCCACAGTCATACGAAACTTTTTGTTTAAAATAATTTATTCTATCACCTAATGTAGTTTCCCAATTAAAACGTGGGCCACTATGTATTCTTATTTTTGTAAATGTATTAAATTTGGGTCAGGTTATTTCATTAAAAGTAATTTTTAATTCTTCTAAAAAACTTATCTATCATTACAACAAAAAGAAAGGATATTATATGCAAAAAATGGTATAATAGAATTGAAGATAAAAAACCTTGACCATTTCCAAAATAAAAACAATGTTTTCTGCAGAATAATTTTCCTCTAGCAAGACTTAAAATATTAAGCAAATTAATTTAGAAATGAAACAAATCCAAACTTTATTATCAAGTCATACATAGGAATTTAGAAATGGTTATTTTACTGATTGAAATCTATTAGACACTTGATATAGTGCATTTTTTGTCCAATTTTTTTTTCAAATTTTAATACATACATTAAGGCACGTTTGACTCAAAATTCAATAATTTTATTTTGACTTTAGGAATCTTTCATTAAATTGATATATGTACTCCATTCTTAATGTTAATGTTGGTTAAAGTCTTACCTTGGGATGCATAAGAACAAATGGTAGCTCTGCAGATAATTCTCCACCTAGTGCTCCTAAGTACAATTTCACTTTTACAGCATACGAGACAATAATTCCAAAGGCGTCACGTTGATCAGGTGATGCTAATCTGAATAAAATAATTTCTATATGTATAATAAAATTGAACAAATTTTATAGTCTTACAGAGTAGTGGAAGCTAAATTTAAATCCTGTTTTTTTAATTGGCCATCCAGAGCGATGCCTCTATGGTCTTTATTTGACGACAAAAGAGGTTGCAAATAAACCACTTTCTGTAGGCTTGATCCTGGCTGAATGGGACAACCTTCTCTAAAAAATAATTACCTAATAATTATTTACAGAATTCAAATATAATAAACAAGGCAACTATAAAAATTTCATAATACTGATTTTGTAGTTAAGCTTTATTTTTTCGATAGTTGCATTACTAAATGTACAAGACAGACAATCCTTCTAATTCTTGACGCTGCCAATAGTTTTAGGGCAGCTTGGGCTATCCAGGAGGTAATGCAGTCAAGACGTCATAACTTAGAACATGAAGTACAAAAAGAGATAATTTGTTGTTTAATCTGTTGCAACTGGATAATAAAAGAAATAAATACAATAAATAAATATTATAAATATGTAATTTGTCAAATCTGAAGGCGTTAAATGCCAAAAGAAATAATTTAAATTCTAACCACCAAAACATTAGTAAATTACAAGGCTACCGAGCAACACCACCATTGAGTTTATAAGCTACACTAAGAGGTAAGTTAAAATAAGGGCTGACGGCTACCTATCAATTTTGATGTTTATACGCTATCAGGATCAAGGAAAGATTGCGATCAACGCTATCAAATCTGATTAATTACTCATTTATCATTATTGTTTATTACATTTACCACTTTTATCATTCTATTATGACAGTTTCAGAAAAGAATTGCCTCTTTTTATGCACCTTTTCTTAGATTTGACGTCAATCTTGCTGCTCCCTGGCCGCGGACGGACCAATTTCTCCTAAAACTCTTGGGCAATGTCAATAATTAGACGGATATAAATTAATAAATTATTTTATTAAAAACATTTACAGATAGAGACTGCAGTGCAAAATACCTTTTTTTAAATGTTTGATATATATTTTATATATCACATAGGATCAGATAAAGTAAAAAAGATTTTCCTCCTTCTGTAATTTAAATAAATTCATAATGGTACCCACCGATTATACATATACTTTTTGCTTTTTTCCACCAAATATTTATCCAAGGATCTTTGCAACATATCTTTGAGAGATTAACAATAAGCAATATTAAGAAATTTATCTTGGTACTTTTTATATTTTTATTTTTATAAAAAATATATAGGTATATTAATTGTTCTGAGACGGTTGAGTGCATAGTTTCTAAATTAATTTCTATGCCGTTTTTCTTATTTTTTTTATACATTGAATTTAAAATAGGTAGTATTTTGATTAAAAAATTTCACATTTTTTTTTAACAAATGAAAGATATATTTTTTTCTTAGAAATACCACAAGAAATGTACTTATCCAATTTCCAAACAATTCGGTGGTATCATTATTATGAGTTTTCCTTAAAGTTCATTAAATTTGACCTAAAATGATCAAAACCTAGGAAAATGAATAGATAAAAATAAGATAATAAACAATATACTCTATAGCAATGGTATTCAACCAGGGATACGTGAAGACCTCTTAAGGGGTACACGAAGGGATCTGTTAGGATAGGTAGGTACATAGACGAAAAAAAAAATTTTAATTTTTAATTAAACATCCCCTTAGCCTCCAGAATTCCACAATATTATATCCTCCTTTATTCATTCATTTAACTTAATCCAGAAGCAAGTTAGAATTTTTCATTTGCCTGTCTATGTCTAAATACCAATATTGTATTAATTTACATAATATGTATGTATGTATGTATGTTTACTCCAACTCCGATTATACGAAGATAAAGGGGTACTTGAATATACAAATTTTTGAAGAGGTCCACGAGAAAAAAGATTGAATACCACTGCTCGTATACTACCTTTGTTTCAGATTAAAATTTAGAATAAAGTTTTACTTACTGAGTTTCAATACTTGCCACAGACGTTCGATACTGGCCATTTTGAAATAAAACAACATCAACACCCTGCTGTACCATTACCTTGATTTTTTTTACTATTTTGTTACTATTGTTTCGTACGCAAATGTTCACAGTTATTTTTTCTCCATGGTGATATAGCTATAATTAATTGATATTCATATTCGATTTTGTAAATGAATTTAAAGAAAATTATAATCTTTTTATAAACCATATCAAATTTATTAAATAAAATCATTTCTTATTACCTGTTTATCTAACGTAACCTCCAGTTCTAGTTCACCTGGACTTAACATAAAATCTTTTCTAACAACAGTGCAAGGTTGCCTTCCCTGTTTAGTTGGAGCAAACTGAACTTTTCTAATACCCATCATAACAGCATTTCTTTTGTGAGAACGATTAGTCTCATTTTCACCCACAAATAATTTAACATAATAATGAACACCGCATGGTTGTCCTTCATCTTCAGAACCTATATTTTTTTTATTGATTATTATAGCAACACACTATGTCATATTTAAAACTCACCCGGTTGAAGAGTGACTGAAGCTGGTGCACTAGGTGGTAAAATAAATGTAAATGGATAACAATTGTCTCCTAATTTTCTCATTAATCTGTCTTGAAGTTTGGTTGTTACTGATTTCTCAGGTAAAGGATAGAGTTGTTCAGAAACCAAAAATAGATCTTTTTGAAAATTTAATCCCATAACCTCATCTTCTTCGCGGCCATAACGGAAACTGCAGATTACTTGGCCAAAAATTTTGCGGTTCTTGTAGTCATCATCAATAACGACTACACCATCTAAAAAATTTAAAGTTCTTCATCTCTTCTAATTTCAACAATAAGGGTCATAAAATGCATTTTTTTATAGGCAATCATTGATTTCAACCACTGCATCAGAGTTTTGTCATCAGTTAATAACTTGAATATACATGAATTCAGTTTCATTCAGAGCTGCGGGGAAGACAGACTAAGATGCATTGCTCAATTTTCAGAAACATACTGCCCTGATAGGAACATTGTTCACCTGTTTGAGGTTTCACCCTAGTTGCAGCTCTGGCTAATTCAATAATTATTACTTAGTAGGTAGGTAGGTACCTACTTCAGAGATTATCTAAAGAATGTTCATTAGCTACTAGTTACCTACTCAATACAGAAAAATTCATTTAAAATATGAAACAATCTACTAGCTTAACTATGTATTAGAAAAATATTTCAAAATTTTCTTACCAATTGGTTCTACACCAGATATGTGATCCACAAAATCCCTCTTCCCCAGGTACATGGTAAGTTTTCCATTAGGAGATTGTTTTTTAAATACTCGAAAATTGTATACCATTCTGAGCTAGCTTGAAATGTTAATAAAGACAAATCTAGTTATGCACCTTGAACATATATTTATATAGGCTTTTGTAAGGTTTCTTTAACTTAATTAATGCTAAAGTATTATTACATTAAAGATTATTTGTAATTAAATTATGACTTCAAATAAAATTTAGTTGAAAAAATATTTGAATACTAAGAAAACTTGGGAAGTTTTCTTCCCACGTCTTGCTTCGTAACTTATGAAAATGAAAATTCTTTTGGAAAATCTAGTCTCTTCAATAGCTCATCTAAATAATTATGAATGAAATTGTAGAACAAAACCAATTGTATTTTTCCTCGATTAGAATGATATGTCATATATTTACTTTCGACAGTTGCACGATATTTTGCTTTATTTACAAATCCTGAAGATAGGTCAAGATTATCATGGGACCAGTACATGGCTATTGTCGCGGAACAGCAAGATTAGCTTGTCCAATGAGCAAGATAATTCAGGGTTTCATGAAACTAAAAGCTAGCTGCTAATCCTGATTAGTTCCTTGAATTTGCCAATCTTATGATCCTTCGGCACGTGGTAGCTGGCTTCAGGATAATAGTCAATGCTCTAATTTGAGTCCAAAGACAAGTGAGGTGAAAATCTACATGTCGTCCTAGGAATCTCTGCTGACGGCATTGTTCTTTAATATTTACTATCGTGATTGACAGTTTGTGGCTGCTCGGAGCGATTTTGAGCGCGACGACGGAATTTTGGAAAGCGAGGTGAAAATTTCCTTTCCCGCGCATCGCACCCTGCAACGCCACATTTTAGGACGTCGCGCGTCGCCGTCGTCCTCGGCTCTCGCCACATGCATAGGGCGGTTTTTTTCCGGCTTCATGGTCCCGATTTGAAAGTATGGTGAATTCTTGAAATAGGTACACTTGAGACTGGTAATACGACAGTATGTTTTTCACAGCTGAATTTACTAAACAAGTCTATAATTTCTCTATTATTGTTAATAGAGAAATTATAAATTTGTTGTCACATATATTATAAAAGGTGTTTTATAATCTTGTTCTAGATCTAGACAAAGGATAGATATTCCAAGTAATTTCTTTTTATAATGCCGTTTTCCACCCCATTGACAGTATTAAGTGTTCTAATTTGATGAAATTAGAATCTGGATACTAAAATTATACCTTAATAAGAAAAATTTTTTTTAAAAATGTACTTTAGAACACAGCTATTATAAAACACCTTTTATAGTATAGCATTTTTTTAGTAAAAATAAACTGTTTGTTAATTTAATAAAGGGAAAAGCATAAATACGCATTGGTTCCATCAAATCTTGACTTTATCCATTGAAAGTCGATAAATAAACCAAAACATTGTGCAAACTGATCGACAAAGCGAATGTATGACATGTCATATCATATTCAGAATCCATGATTTTTTTAAAAGACCAAGTTTTGTTGGAACAAAGAGCAAAGCCTTATAAGTAAAAGGTTTTACGGATGATCACAATCAGTGACTTTTAAAGGTCAAATATTAATTATATGTGTTATTCTCTCATAGTAGACATTTAAAAATAAAAATAAAGATAAAATTTATTTTATGTTGCGAAAATTAGGAATATGACAGGTTTCAAAAAATATATTCAACAGATTTAGAAAAATCACTTATTTTCAGCCAAAACTTAAACTTTATTGTAGAACGCATGTTTACGAGTAAAAATCAAATGCTCATTAAAAATAAGTTGATGTGATGTACGAGTCAATAAAAATATTTTTTTTTGTGTCTAATTCAATCAAGCGTTTTAAAAATATTGTAAGAAATGTCAGTTCCTCAGTACTTTTTAAATTAAACAAAATATAGGCCTTTTTTTAGGTGACTAAACTTTTGGCAATAAAAGATAAAAATATCTACCTAATATTAGTATTTAATCTATCAGATATGTTAAATTGTTAGGACAGCAATGATGCATGGAAACTTTAAATTTGACCATCACTATGTCACTTTATTGGAATTAACTGCATGCAAATCAAACTAGAAGACAATACAATTATAAACACGCTGTTACGTCTTACATTCTTATTATTTAGATAATAGGCACTCGGTTAGATTAGTCGTTGAAATACAAACAAAAATTTTATTTTATTTTTTTACTCAAAAACTTATTTCATGATAAAGATGAAACAGATGAAAAAGTTTCTAAATTAATCTGTCTCTCCAAAAGATGTATTGCCACAATTGAAATCCTAACGAGTCAAATGTTTTCATGAAAAATATACAGGGTGTTGTTGATTTCACCCGTTCCAAATAAGATTATTTTAACGAAAAAACACTGGTTAGATCAGCCTGGATCAGTATAACATCTGTACCAAAATTCAGGATTTTATCTGATTTCAAATTTGAGAAAAAAATTTAAAACTCGACTGCCATTTTTAAATGGCCATAACTCCTTAACGAATCGTTTCCGGACATACGTCCATAGGAACTTTTTTCTTAATTTCCGATTCCCAATTCGTATTTAAAATTTTTGCATATAATCCTGAAACACCCTGTATATGTATTTAAACTTATGTTGAATAAAAAAAAACTTTACAAATTTGTAAATATGAAATAAATTATTTTCAATTTATTAATACCGTGATAATTTGAAAGTGGCTAGTTTTTACAATAAAATAGAAATGTTTTGCTCTTATCAAATTTCAAAAGTTTTCGGTGGTATTGAAATTTTAAATTTTAATTAGTGCTTCTTGGGAAATAAGTTATAAGTCCAAATGTCATCAAAACACATTAAACATTTGAAATATTTCAGAAAAATTTCAAGAAACTATATTTATGTTGACAACAAATAGGTACTTATATACCTTCGATAATATATATTTGGTCCTTGGTCTACACCACTGGTTCGTCAAGTCTGTTTGTTCAAAAATCATACAAGGAACAACTTCCTGAAGTTATATCATGGATTGAGATAACACTGAAAAAATGGCCATTAAACAAAGAAGAAAATGAAAAAACAATGTGGAGATAATAAATTCTCGAGGTCTTACAAACAGAACAAAACAGTTTAAGAGCAAAATTCTAATAAAATTTTTGATAAACAGAACTTCCTAATTCTGTATTAAAAACAATATTCTTATTCTTAAAATATTTGCATATAACATGACAGATACTATGTTAAATAAAATGTAAATATGGAAAATTGAAAAAGATCATTGCTGTAGAAATTTTAAAACTAAACAGGCAGGCATGAAGGTACAACTCCCACAAAAAAAATTTATAATGATTTTTTTGTGAATTGATTAGTTTTAGAGGTACTTTAAATATATTTGATTTTATATTTTTTTCAAAATATATTTTTTCTTTGACTCAAAATTAGGAATTAAATGCCCCCCCCACAACAAATTAACACAAAACTCAGTGAAATAGAAATTGGTCTACACGTTTGTATATCAATTCACCAACTTTTTGTTAGTTAAACCTAAGGCTTTAGACCCCTGATTCTAGCACTTGATTTTTTTATATGTTTGGCTGTTAGTAAGCCTAGTAGCACTAAGTTGGACGACACAGTTTTGTATCAAGTCACCACTGAAAGGCACTAATTTCAAACAGTCATAAAAGTATTGTTAATATGAATCAAATTTGTTCTATGTATACATTTAATCAAATGTATAAGGTAAAGTATTACAAAATTAGTTATTAACCCAACAGTGAAGACTCTATTAGCAAATGAAAGGACATACATATTTTCAAAAGGATTTACATTTTGATAAGTAAAATATTATTTGTATTAGTACACACTATAAGCTTACACTTACAGCCAATAAGGAAAACATTTCCTCTCAGCTTCTAATAAAATTTGTAATAAGCAGAAGGTTCAATTTATTAATGTCAGCTAATGATAAAATAATTATTTGCTTTGCCTATCCCCAACACTGGTGGACACATTATATAAGACTAAAATTTTAATATCGTTGATTTAAGACGTACATGTCTGTGCCAATGTTCTTCAGTCGTCGTTCTGTATTCCTTATTTTCTTCTGTATTGATAATAATCAAATGTGATGTTACCTACTGTAATATTTATGTGATATAGTGGAGTAGGAATAAATGTGTAATAAATAAAATGAAATGTATGTGTAATTAATAAATGAAAGTTTCAGTTCAATTTATAGTTTTAACTATGCAGTTATAAAATATCAAATTTTGTATAGTTTTTTAGAATATACCTAAGATTTTTTAATATCTTATCACTTAATTTAAATCTATTAATTTTATTTGAAGAGTATACACATGACTCAATATCGAAAAACAATTCATTAAAATATTTCTTTACTATATCTGGAGGGTTATGTAGTAAACCATTCTTCATCATGGGCCAAGGAGCTTTTTTTGACAGTAACAACTGCAACAAAAAACTTTTAAATTTATTGTTCTTTTAATCAAATATATAATTCTTATAAATACAAGGTGGACCATGGGAGCGGGAAGTTTTGAAAACGACGTATTTCCGAAAGTAACTGTATTTAATTAAAACAAAGTATAGCAATAACAAGATAATTGTGTGCCATTTTTATTTCTTAAAAATTATGCCTGCTAAATGCCGAACGTTGAAATTCTGCATAACACGACGCAACATATCCAACGGAATATTAGCAATTTCTTCCCGAATTTTCACTTTCAGCTCCCAAATATCTCGTGGTTTGTCAATGAACACCTTGCTTTTTAGATAGCCCCACAAAAAGTAGTCGCATGCCGTAAGGTCTGGCAAACTTGGGGGCCACTCAATGTGTCTGGAGATAACACAACCTGGAAACAATCTTTGCATGGAATCCATTGATGCTCTTGCGGTATGTGAAGTACCCCATCTTGCTGGAACCAGCTATTGTTCTGTGGAAACATGTTCAGTTGCTGTGTAAGGAACTGGTTAATCATGTCAGTATAGCGTGCAGCATTGACTGTTAAAGCATTTTCATTGTGATCCTCAAAAAAAATAGGGACCTATGATTCCCATTGAAGATATTGCGCACCATACTGTTACCTTGGGGCTGTGTAACGGCTATTGATGAAGCTCTTGTGGATTTTCCAAAGCCCAATAACGGCTGTTTTGTTTATTGGTATAGCCAGATAAATGGAAATGTGCTTCATCAGACATCCATAAATTGTGAACGTCAAGTTCAATGAAGGGCAACTTAAAGTCCCCACTAGTTGGGTCGCTCTCATTCTCTCGCGCCCCACCACAAATAATTAGGTATGTTTCGGACTGGGAGTGTTGTTTGGAAATATACACCTTGGCACCAAAAACTGTTGTATTCAATAGGGTGAATAATAATTAATCCGATAACAGTTGCATTTGATATTTTAAAATATATTATTTTATTAATGATATGTTAACATTTCCTAGTTAGTTAAATAAGAATATTGTTGTTTTTTTTTTAAATAAAATGTTAAAAACCATTTACTTTTTGAATTATTGTTCGCAACATTACCTGCATATTTAAAGTTTTCCTTCCTTTACTAGGGATATCCATACAGGGTGGGCCAATAGTGATAATATTACTATGCCATACGGATAGAAAATAATTTTTAGGCGCCTTAAGGGGGACATTTTTAAAATGTTATGAAGTATACGGGGTGTTTCCGAAGGCCGCATGGTTTTTAAACGCAATGACCCGATTTTTTATATTTCATATTTTAATTATGATAATAATGAAATAATTATTGAACAGAACACAATCTTCATTTTGATTCTGTTTTATATACAAAATCTTTCAGACAAAATAACTAATGTTTTCGGGAATGAATCAAACATATACCTAAATTGCAAATGAAAATATATAATTTATTAATAATATTGATTTTGATTTGGATTTGGATTTTGATTTTAATTTTGATTTGGATTTTGATTTTGATATGGATTTTGATATGGATTTGGATTTTAATTTTGATTTGGATTTGAATTTTTATTTGGATTTTGATTTGGATTATATTTTGATTTTGATTTGGATTTTGATTTGGATTTTGATTTTCATTTTGATTTGGATTTTGATTTTGATTTGGATTATATTTGGATTATGATTTGGATTTGGATTTTGATTTGGACTTGGATTTAGATTTGGATTTTGATTTGGATTTGCATTTTGATTTTGATTTGGATTATATTTTGATTTTGAATTTGATTTGGATTTTGAATTGAATTTTGATTTGGATTTGATTTGGATTTTGATTTGGATTTTGATTTGGTTTTGAATTTTGATTTGGATTTGGACTATATTTTGATTTTGATCTTGATTTGGATTATATTTTGATTTTGAATTTGATTTGGATTTTGATTTGGATTTGAATTTTGATTTGGATTTAGAATTTGATTTGGATTTTGATTTTAACTTTGATTTTGACTGACTGACTGACTATTAGTTTTGATTTAGATTTTAGATTTTGATATTGATTTTGATTCTGATTTCGATTTTTAATTTTGATATTTGATTTTGATTCTGATTTTTGATTTTGATTTTTAATTTTGATTTATAGTTTGATTTGGATTTGGATTTTGACATTGACTGACTGACTGACTTTTAGTTTTGATTTTTGAATTTGATTTTGATTTTTGATTTTGATTTTTGATTTTTCATTTTGATTTATGATTATTATGATTTATGGTTATTATGATTTATGATTTAGCAGACTTCTTTAATCTATAATAAGAGTATTCCTTACTAATTAGTCAGAGTTTCCTTACTATAGTAGTCAAAAGTCCTTGCGAACTGGCTAGAACGCTTAGATGTTGTCGCTGAGGCAGCATATAGTGGACAGGCATCCCCAGACAGTATTGTGCTTCACTTGTCCATTCAATAGGGCAAAGACTAAACGACGTCATAGCTTCTGGGGGTTAATATACAAAATACTAAAAAATATATTTTTGTAGTTAATATTTTTCTTTAAATATTTCTGTTCATTAAAAAATATGTATACTTTGTTAAAAAAAATATTTTTATTTATATCGAATCAAAGTTTCATTGTTTATTAACAACTGACATCTAAACTAATTGAAAAATATTTATATACATAATTTATGCACCAAGCGCAAGTACGTTTTTTATTTTGAATAATATCTTTATAGAGATACTTATATGATAATTGAATTAAGATGTTGAGATATTTGGTATACATACAACAATTATTATTACAAGAAAAAAATTAAGAAAATTATCTTTATCTTTTACGTTTATAGTGTATAAAATTATTTTTTAATTTTACATTTTTATTTGCAATTTATATATTTTACTCATTTTTGAAAACATTAGTTATTTTGTCTGAAATATTTTGTATATATGAATTATAAAAAACGGGTCATCCCATTTATAAATCATATTTGATACAGCCTTCCAAAACACTCCGTATACTTCATAATATTTTTAAAATGTCCTCCTTAAGGCACCGCTCGATGCCCTAATAAAATAAGTATTTTCTGTCTATATGACATAGAAGTAATATAATCACTATTACTCCACCCTGCATGTATTGATTTAAGACAACATTTATAAATGAATATCTCCAATACAGGAAAACACTAAATATGTAGGTATGTGGATGTAGTGAACAATGGTTAAAATAGTAAACGGTTTATAACATTTTATTTGTACAAAAATTCTTCAATATAATGATTTAATTAACCAAGAAAATGTTACAATACATTACATATCACATTAATAAAATAATATTTAAAAAAATATCAAATGCAACTGGTATCAGATTATTTATTTACCCTATCGAATATATCAGAGCTTTTGGTGCCACGGTGTAGTATATCTCCATACCTCACTCCCAGTCCGACACATTCCGTAATTATTTGTGGTGGGGCGCGATAGAATGAGAGCGACCCAACTAGTGGGGACTTTAAGTTGCCCTTCATTGTTCATGCTACAGCATCGTTTCAGCAAAATGTAGGCGAACAGGAAGATCTGTTGGTTTCAATGCTTGGACAATTTGGATTTTGTTAGGATGAAAATTGAGATCCTTGTGTAAAATTCTAAGAAAAGTAGTCCTAGATAAGTCCAAGGCCTGGCTTTGTTTTCGACTTAAACGTTTTGGACTGCGCTCTACAGATGCTTTAACGCGATCAATGTTTTCAAGACTTCTGACACTTCTGTTTGGTCCCTTATGTTTGACATTTTCAGCTGATCCAGTATCTTCAAATTTACGAACCCACTCCTTTATGGCGGATGGAACTCTCCCGTGCCAAGCAATGTTGAAATTAATTCGAAATTGTCGCTGTGCTGCGACCACACAATCATTATTTTTGTAGTAAGATTTAATCGCAAAAGAACGTTGTTTGCTGGACCACTGTTCCATGATTACTAAATGGCATAAAATGACAGATAATTTGTCAAACAAATCCGCGGCAACTTATGCATAGTAATGAAATAATAACATTTTCAAAACTTCCCACTCCCATGGTCCACCTATTATAAGATATTTCACAGTAGATGAAAAATTTGCATATTTCCCTGAAGAGATGTATAAAATGTCTTTTTTAAGACCCTAGGCGTATGTACGATTTTAAGTCGTTGCAATTAAATATGTCTTATCTCTATTTCAGAATTACGCATACAATTTTCAGATACACGGTTATGTAGCTGGTGCAAAGTACACGTGTCCCACTAGTGCGGAAAAGTCCAATATCTATGTTAAAATGAGGCATATATGTATTTTTCTTTTTAATGTGTTGCCACATTTACAGGGTGTTCCAATTTTCCTGGACAGACACCAACTTTGGTTTTTTAAATGAATACACACATTTTTTATATTTTTTTCGGATTCTACATCAAAAATAAAGGGTACTTTGTGTAGAATAGTTCTATTCAAATATTCACAGTTTTTTAGATATCTCGCTTGAAAGGTCTTTCAAGTCTATATTGGTTGCTTACATTTTCTGATACTGACAGGTTATACTAATAGCTACTAAGCCCATTTTTTTATCAGATGTTTAGTAAGGATGACTCTTCCGAATCATGCTCCAAAAACTGGCCTGCGTTATACAGGGTGACCAAAATATCATGTCAAAATTGCCAATTGAAAAATTGAAAAATCTCGATTTTTTTAAATGCAACGCCCTGTATATTTTCATACCATGAGATGCAGAATTAAATTCTCTACAACTTTGCTATACCTGCTCCTATACCAAAATTCATTAGTTTTTCATGAAATCTCATTTCTATGAAAAAATGCGAAGTTTACAAATAGCTTATATGTAAAATAACGTAGTAGGCTCCTGTCAAATGATAATCTGGAAAATTTTCGATTCACATAAGGTTTAATAGAAAGAAAGGTTTAATAGAAGAAGAGAAGCCCATGGTAACTGTTTATTGGCAAGTCGTATTTACCAAGCTAATAATCCAGATTTAC